CGCCGTCGAAATGACGCTCGTCCCGATCGTTAATATCCCGTAATCTCGAGACGAACGAACGTGACTGCCGGCTCCCGCGAGTCTCCCCGTCTTNACACATCTTTAAATTTAGAATTATCTTTTATAATGACTAAAATGTATTGATTCGTCGATAATAATGCTTTGTCTGACTCGTGGCGGAGATTTCTAATAATAACCCGTTAAGTACAAGGTTTATTCCGTCTTTTTCAAATCGGAATATCCTGTTCCCTTGGCATGAATATAAAGCGTTGAAATAAATGAGCCGTTTATTTTGAAAGTGGCGAAAATTATTTTGAAAAATCGATATATTAAAGAGTTTGCGTTTTAACACGTTTAAAAATATGGATGCTAACTTTCGAGAAGATTTACTTGTATTTGTTATCTCAGGATACTGAGATATTTTCGGATTACAATTTCACGGAAACATCCAGCGAAAAAATTCGCCGAACTTCGAATCAATTTCGAGAGCACGAGTTCGCCGATTGCGGGATCAACAAACTCGTCAAACACCATCGGACGCCCTTCCGCGCCGCCAGCACCGGCAAAACAGAAAACACCTTGAAAAAGCACTCGATTCCGCATCGACTCGGAGCGACGCGAGCGAACTTGAAAAAAAAACCGTAGCAATTTTTCGGAGTATCTTCGCGCGGATCAAACGCGCCGACTCGCCGGGCGCCGGTAACGAGGCCCCCTTTAATCCCGGGCCGAAACGAGCCGAGGGGCAAGAAAAATGATTGTGCGAGATGATTAGAAGACGCTTATGCAAACGCCGTCGAAATGACGCTCGTCCCGATCGTTAATATCCCGTAATCTCGAGACGAACGAACGTGACTGCCGGCTCCCGCGAGTCTCCCCGTCTTGGAGCTTCAGGAATTATGGATGCGTTCCACTTCCGGCAACGCGCGAAACGCGGAAGCGCCGATGTTAGAGCCCTCCGCGCGTACCACGGCCTTACGGTACGCCGGCGTTCCTTCCGGCAGCAGAACGTAGGAACCGACCCGACCCGACCCGACCCGACCCGATCTCGGCCCGCCGCGCCACGCCGCGCCGCAAGTTGGCAACAGCATCTGGAGCGTTAAGACGAATGAGCGATGTGCCGGTGTCTTGCGGTATGATGGATCGCCCAATACCAGCCAATATGCAGTATTGCGAGCGGAGTGTGGCAAACTGGCATCCATGCATCAAATCGGCGCTAGTCCGAAGGCCTGCTCCCCCGTGTTACGTCTAGGTGCTCGGGGCTCGTAACACGGCACCCATCCACGAGGAACTCGGTGTGCGGTCGGGTTCTTGTCGCCGAGCGGCAGCCCGGATGGTCCACGGGCGACCATACGGCGTTATCCGGGCTACACCGGACTCGCATCCGCTATTTTCCATTCTACGTTCCGGCCTTGGCGAATCGATACCGGTCGAGAAATTGTCCGGCGCGGATTTCGTACGGTGTGCGCTTCGTCCGACGATGGCGGTTACAACCAGCACCGGGTTCAGCAATTCTGTGGGTGCGCTTTGTTTCGCCGCGGAGAGGGGAGCCAGTGGGACAGGGATTGCTGGAGATTGTGTGGTCGATTTAGATGATACTGTTTGACCTGATTATACCGGGCTCTATCTTTCCGAGCGACTTCGACTTGCTCCGCAACGACGACGGTCCGTCACTAATCTCGTTCGTTTCGTTCGGTCGTTGCACGGCCGCATAGTGCAGCAAAATAACCATGTTCTGTCAAAATCGAGGAACGTTTGATAGAGACGATAGGAAGCAACGACATTTTACGGTGAAATGTTGCAGCTAATGATAGAGGGAATGTAGCTTAAACATTTTTTAATCCTTCGCTCTCGAGGTCGTTTTCATTCAAAGTCCAAAATAGTCCCTTTTGACCTGTACAGTACTTTTATTTTATATGGCTTATATTGCACTTTGTGCATGTGAAATTGAACCTTGTGACTCGTACAATAATTACATTTTTAACAGATTCTTTAAAAATAAATAGGCTTGACAATGTAAAACAATTTTTAATGGTACTTTAGAGTCATCGCTCGAGTGCAAAGGGTTAACCTTAGGAATTTATATCAAACTTCTAAGAAAATTGAGATTTGTCCAATACCATATACGATCGAACAGTGCATGGTATTGAATAAATCTCAATTTTGTTGGAATATTTAAAGTTTAGCATAGATTTTCAAGTCGGAAAATGTTCATACCGCATTCTCACTATTGTCTCCTGTTCTGCAACACTTCAGCTTCAATATAAAAACAATCATCGCTTTATCTGACTTCTACTAAAAGTTCTTTGATCTTGACACAACTTCGTCGTTCTGCTAACTTTGCCACACTGTGCGCCGTGCCGGTCACTGGGTCGGCGACGACCGGACTTTCCAAGGAGTTTGTTTAACATACTGAGTGGAAACGGTCTATACTTTGATCGGTTCACAAAGATAAATATTTTATTAGATGACATAACTGACTTTTAGACCTTCGAGGACGAATGCTAGATATCGTGACGATGTCAGGACTTTAGGATACTTCTACCGAAAGTTGCGAACATGAAATTTGCTTGTTTACATAATCAAAGATATAATATCCATTTTAAGCATATGTATCATTCGATACATAATCCAGTTCTCTGAAGAAGACATATAAGAATCGATTATCGATATCGAGCAATAATTCGATAATATCATTAAAATATCATTACTGCATCGAAGTGTATGCTTGCAAATTACAACCGTAATCGACAGATATGTTGTTGGTAATCGGTACAGTTTATGGTCAGACGAGTAGAATAGGAATAGTTTATGATCGGACGAGTAGAATAAGAACAGTTTATGATCAGACGAGTAGAATAGGAACAGTTTATGATCGGACAAGTAGTACAAGAACAGTGTATGATCGGACAAGTAGTACAGGAACAGTGTATGATCGGACAAGTAGTACAGGAACAGTGTACGATCAGGCAAGTGAAATACGAATGACTCGATCAAACAAGAAGCATCAGAATTATATTTTTAATAAAAGAACTGTAATGGTGGTAGTTGCGATAAACGTGAGAAATCTTCGATCAAACAGGAAAAAGACACTTTAAACAGATTTTATGAATCGTCGTATCTCGTTAGTTATGACTTTGTTCCGGTAAATAAACAATGCCGATTAAAGAACATATCTTGCACGCTTGCATACTTACTATTACTATATAATAACATAATGAACACAATTAATTATAACAGTAATGAATTATACCGATGGTGCTATATGAATTTATTCGTACAGTACTCGTCCTCGCCCAGCACGCTTGTGACTATCTCGAAGAGAACACAGCCAATTACGTCTATGAAACATTACATCGTGATGCGTATCGAAATAAAAGCCCACCGAATATCGTATCACGCGTAAGCCGAGCCTCGTTATGCATATCGATGTAAGAACACGCGCAGGATTAAGCGGCAGAGTTAGATATGTTCGGGACTATTGTTACGCGTAATTGGATAGGAGATCAGGGCCGTAGTGTTACCCGTAACGATGCGTTACGTGCGGTTCATTTGAAATGCACGAGATAACAGTTTGCTCGCACGGCGATCGCGATCGCGAAATTTCTTCCCGAGGTGTCGTACGAATTCACCTTCGCGCAATCACGCTTTAAACCGCCGTAGCTCGCGCGACCAACCAGGGTACAACAAAAAGGCGACGTGTAATTATTCCATTCGCGATAACCCGACGGAACGGCCGCGCTTATTCCAGTTTATTTTGAATTCGCAGCTTTAATTGCGGACTCCATGGTGTCTACTAATTGTGGCCGTACAACGAATTCGTTTTAATAATACCGCCGCTGATTGCCACGTTGATACTCGCGAAGACTTTCATTCGCATCGTATTTTCCCACACTTTAGGGCCCCTGTGACTTCGTCTCGCCGTGAAGTCTACAGAAAAAGGAACACTCGGCTAAATAAAAATCCTTTCAAACCCGTTCGCTGCAAGGAAGCCGGCAAACAAACTCATTAAATGGCCGCTATCCTATAAAATTAACCCTTTCAACTGTCATTTACGTTTCAGGCTTATCAAGATCCTCTTCGAGATTCGTGGAGCTATTTATGGAACTACACTTTTCGAAAACGATTTTTATTGTTATTATTATCTGCAACGAAGCACGTCGATACGAACGTAGAGTAATAGTGAACAATTGCGACCTACAATATACCATCGCAGGTTTTCAAATTTGGCTGTCGATCGAAACGTTCGCTACCAGCCGTGACATGTGCAATTCTCGTGATTTTGTATTTCAGTTCTATATTTTGCGCGTAGTTTTTAAAATAACCTAACGCATTGCTGGTATTCAGAAAATGTGACTAACAAGATCGTACGAATTTTGATATTCAGCGAAGACTGTTTACTGAAACAAACGCCCGATAGCGAACGCGTCGAAAGTTGTTCTACACAATCGACTGGCGACGTTGATAGAAACGCGAGGGAAATCCGATTTTCAGCAAAATTGTACCCGAAGTTTCGCATAGTTTCGCGCAGTGATAACTTGACGCAAGAATCAAGCAACTTTCGATATCAACAATTGCTTCATCGTCCAGATATGCGAGAAATCGCCCAAGGGAAATAGCCCAGTGATTCGAGTCGCGGCGACCGATTTCGCGCGTCGCGAAGTCACGATAAGTCGTCCGCGGTATTTAGCTGGCGCTTCCTGCCGCGCGGAATTACGAGTTCAAAAAACATTAGCAATTTCGCGGAGCCAACAGAGAGAAAACAGAGAACTTTTAATGGGCGCAAAATTAATCGGCTATTCCGCGGTGCCGTTAGGAAGCCATAAATCCGTCGCTAAAAGCGAAACTTTTTCCTTAAAAGAGTTCCCGACAAAAATTTATGTCCGACCCGCGAAATAGAGTTCTTCGCGAGTCCGGTATCAAAGCCGGGAATCGCGAAAAGACGCGGAAAGACGGAAAGAGGAAGCGCGGGCGAGGAGAAGCGTAAAAGGTCGATCGCTCACCGAAACGTCAACGTAGTCAGCGGCCTGTAGCTCTTGTGGCTGTTGATGTCGTGCATAGGCGTGCCCCAGAAATCGTCCTTCAGCACGCTGGTCCAGGGTGTCTGGGCCAGGACGTCCTTGTTCCTCACCACCGCCGGTATATCGTCGTGCACGAAATCGCCGCCTAACGCGTTCAGGTAGCAGCCAACGGCGACCAGAGCAACGGTCGCGTAAATGCACCATCCAGGCGGTTCGTTTCCCTCCGCGTCGTTGCATCCGCTGCGACCGGCCCTCCTGCTGCTCGTCTGGCAGCAACAACCGTTGTTGCGTCGTCTCATGACTCGCTAACTACCGCCGTACCAGAACACCGTACGGCCGCACAAAAGGGATAAACGTTCTGCCGCGATTGTCTGGTATAATCACTCTCATGGAGCCAAGTACGCTTTCATACGCCGCTATCTGCCGCGCTGATAAATCCCGCCCGAACAACCGGCTGCTCGCTGTGGCTGACCGTTCCACGGCTCGATCGCTGATCGCATCTCAATGACCGCGATGCCGACGACATCGACGGTTTTTTTCGCCGGAACGGCCGAAACGTCGCAACGATCCCGTTTATTCCGATCGAGAGCACTTATATCGAGATTCTCCGGCTCGAGGTTCTACGCGACGAGAACTACGGACGATCGCGGAACGGTTTAATGGCCACCACCACCACCACGGAAACACCGCGCGTTTCGCGAACGAAAGACGACCGGATCGCCCGTGCCCGGATATTATGACAGACCGATGACAGTCGGTTGCACTCTTCCATCTACTTGGGACAGGCTACTTTGAGCACTCGTTGGCCTCGCGGCGAGCTTGACAAATGACTGCAGCGGTTCATTATTTACCTCGGACCCGGCGTTGTCCGGTGTGTCCGTTTCGAAGAGAAAACCAGGTCTCACGGCGAGAGCTGATTGCTTCGCCGCAGATAATAGTTCTCGCGTGGTGCTTGTTTGGCTGGGATTGTCCCCGCGGGAGGCAACGCTCTCTCTCTCTCTCTCTCTCTCTCTCTCGCCCCCTCTCTGTTCCCCCTTTTTTCCCAGGGCCGGCTCTGTGCCCTGTGAAACGATGTAACAGCTCGTTACGGTGGCCGGTATCTGGTTGCCGGACCCGACACCGCGTCACCGACCTACGCAAACAATTTAGCGAGCTGTTTGATAGCGGCGAGCGGGGCGCGCTTGTTGCGGACTCGTTTGACCGGAGAACCGCGCCGACAAAGAAATCGCAAAACTGAGCTCTCGCGTGCACCGAGCTCCTAAATTCCCGATCGCCGACACAAAAGAAAACGCACTGCCCGCGAAAACGCGACAACGAGCCTCGAAGTGTTCCGCGCGCACGAGTTTACCGTGTCCTGTCGACGAGGCTCGCGAGCCTCACGGGCTCGGTGTTGCACCCGCGACGCTATTCATCGGAACAGGCAAAAAGGGCGCCGGTTTAATTGCATGTTCCGCTTAACGCGCCACCGGAAGGGCTTTCGTTTTTCCGCGGTCCGGTGTCGAACAACGCCGCAGGGAGACTGCTATCGACTCCGTTCTTGCTGCTTGTCGTTTCCGCGGCTGGACCTCGCTCTCTCTCTCTCTCTCTCTCTCTCTCTCTCTCTCTTTCTCTCGTACTCGTGGCGTGTTCGCGTTATTTGCTTCCGTTTTAATTCCGGGCCGGCAGCTTCCGGTCCCACGGTCCGCGGTACGGCTGCAGCCCGCTTTGCGCCGCGGCCGGCGAACCTCGCGAAATTATGGAAAACGAGCAGCGACGGCGGTAACAGCTAGAGGACGGGTGTATGACCCAGATACACGTCGTCGTGGCCGGGCTCTCCTCTATTGCCGCGACTTTACTATGCATATAGATCTATAGAAGCGGTCGTATCTGGCCGGAGGCGCAGCTTCGAGAGTTCCTCTGCTGTGTGGCTCGTCCACCTCTTCTTTCTTCCTTTCTTTCTTCTCTTCCCCACCGACCTAGCCCTTGCTACCGCGCGCCCGTCTATCACTGTTCACCCGGCGTTGCTCCCGGTATGGGTGCTTCTTTCGAGACAGCCCGCGACGCGGACTCGGTAACGAATCTCTGACCCGGTGTCGAGCTCCCTCCACCTCCCTTTTCTCCTCTCTACGTTCGAAAAGGGAGCACAAACTCGGCGACACCACTTCTCCCGCTCGGGCTCCAGGGGAAACCCGGTGACGCGTAAACGGCAGTCGACGAGAGCCGCGTCGCGCGTCTGGCTACCGTCTCGTTAGCACCCTACGACACTTTTTTCCCCCCGTTAACGAAGTGTTTACACGCCACGGAGCCAGTTACACCGTCACAGCTGGCTCAGGCATCCGACGAGACCGGTCGCCGATCGATCGATCGATCGATCGATCGATTCGTACGCGATCGCTGCTGTCTCCCTCCCCAAAGTTTCTTGAGGTCACTGACGCGCGATCTAGATCGCGACGCATGAACCACGGGACGTTTCCATTCTACGAAACGCAATGATTTGCGCGTAGAATTCTCGAGCGTGTTTTACGGATGCGGAGCGGTGAGTTCGAGGTCGCGCGGTTCGGCCCCCGGCTAGAAGAAACACACTAAACGCGGCATCATCGTCACTGAACGCACCTGTCGATGGAGAAAGGACCGCGAGCGTGCGGCCACGCGGCGATCGAGCTCGGGCAGATCGTCGCGACGACGATAAGCGCAAGACTAAAGGACGACGGCATCCGCCCGGTTATATACCCGGCGCACTCTGACCCGCAAACCGCGCCCGCGCCCGCGCACCAGCCGCGCCAGGGCTTTTCTCTCCTGCCACCTACGCGACGCTGTCTCTCCGTCTCTGTCCCTTTTTTCGTCCGGCTTTCGTTACCCTTTGTCGCGCCCAGNGGACTCGTTTGACCGGAGAACCGCGCCGACAAAGAAATCGCAAAACTGAGCTCTCGCGTGCACCGAGCTCCTAAATTCCCGATCGCCGACACAAAAGAAAACGCACTGCCCGCGAAAACGCGACAACGAGCCTCGAAGTGTTCCGCGCGCACGAGTTTACCGTGTCCTGTCGACGAGGCTCGCGAGCCTCACGGGCTCGGTGTTGCACCCGCGACGCTATTCATCGGAACAGGCAAAAAGGGCGCCGGTTTAATTGCATGTTCCGCTTAACGCGCCACCGGAAGGGCTTTCGTTTTTCCGCGGTCCGGTGTCGAACAACGCCGCAGGGAGACTGCTATCGACTCCGTTCTTGCTGCTTGTCGTTTCCGCGGCTGGACCTCGCTCTCTCTCTCTCTCTCTCTCTCTCTCTCTCTCTCTTTCTCTCGTACTCGTGGCGTGTTCGCGTTATTTGCTTCCGTTTTAATTCCGGGCCGGCAGCTTCCGGTCCCACGGTCCGCGGTACGGCTGCAGCCCGCTTTGCGCCGCGGCCGGCGAACCTCGCGAAATTATGGAAAACGAGCAGCGACGGCGGTAACAGCTAGAGGACGGGTGTATGACCCAGATACACGTCGTCGTGGCCGGGCTCTCCTCTATTGCCGCGACTTTACTATGCATATAGATCTATAGAAGCGGTCGTATCTGGCCGGAGGCGCAGCTTCGAGAGTTCCTCTGCTGTGTGGCTCGTCCACCTCTTCTTTCTTCCTTTCTTTCTTCTCTTCCCCACCGACCTAGCCCTTGCTACCGCGCGCCCGTCTATCACTGTTCACCCGGCGTTGCTCCCGGTATGGGTGCTTCTTTCGAGACAGCCCGCGACGCGGACTCGGTAACGAATCTCTGACCCGGTGTCGAGCTCCCTCCACCTCCCTTTTCTCCTCTCTACGTTCGAAAAGGGAGCACAAACTCGGCGACACCACTTCTCCCGCTCGGGCTCCAGGGGAAACCCGGTGACGCGTAAACGGCAGTCGACGAGAGCCGCGTCGCGCGTCTGGCTACCGTCTCGTTAGCACCCTACGACACTTTTTTCCCCCCGTTAACGAAGTGTTTACACGCCACGGAGCCAGTTACACCGTCACAGCTGGCTCAGGCATCCGACGAGACCGGTCGCCGATCGATCGATCGATCGATCGATCGATTCGTACGCGATCGCTGCTGTCTCCCTCCCCAAAGTTTCTTGAGGTCACTGACGCGCGATCTAGATCGCGACGCATGAACCACGGGACGTTTCCATTCTACGAAACGCAATGATTTGCGCGTAGAATTCTCGAGCGTGTTTTACGGATGCGGAGCGGTGAGTTCGAGGTCGCGCGGTTCGGCCCCCGGCTAGAAGAAACACACTAAACGCGGCATCATCGTCACTGAACGCACCTGTCGATGGAGAAAGGACCGCGAGCGTGCGGCCACGCGGCGATCGAGCTCGGGCAGATCGTCGCGACGACGATAAGCGCAAGACTAAAGGACGACGGCATCCGCCCGGTTATATACCCGGCGCACTCTGACCCGCAAACCGCGCCCGCGCCCGCGCACCAGCCGCGCCAGGGCTTTTCTCTCCTGCCACCTACGCGACGCTGTCTCTCCGTCTCTGTCCCTTTTTTCGTCCGGCTTTCGTTACCCTTTGTCGCGCCCAGCGCCATCGTCCTCGTCCTCGTTCACCGCGAGAGGACCATTGTTTGTTTACCTGCATCTTCCCTCGGAATCCCTCTTCGGATTTCAAGCTGCCCCGACCGACCGCTCGTGGAAATCATGAATACCGACGATGAAGGCGGTCTCGCCCGGTGATCGAGTTCGTTCGAAACGGCGGATGCCGTTTCTTGTTGATGTTGCGCACGCTGGGTCAAGGTTAACATCTGATAAGCGCGGATAAGGCTGCGGTCGTCGTGGTCGCGTTTTATGGAGAACCGACCGTACGGGCGAATTTACCGCGGCTAACTGATAAATGAATCATCGCGCGTGCGGTTGCGCTCGATGCGTTTCTTCGTTCGAGAGGGACCGAGGGATTTTTCTGTGTTTTCTTTTTCTTTTTAAAGATTATAAAAATTATTATTTAAAAAGATTATATATATATATATCTTTTAATATATATATCTTATATTATTATATAAGATATAATTAATATTACGTTCTCTTTTTAATCGGAATAAAATTCCGATTTCATTCGAAATGTATTTGAAGAGAATTTAATTTTCAGTGATAAATAGTTTTATTGATTATAAAAGTTCAAAGCTCCTCGTCACTCGCAGTTTCTTGCGATCGAGCGGCCACGTGTTAAAGCACTCTCCTGAACCTTAAAGCTTAATAATGCACACCGCCGTTCCACTACTTATTACATCGCGCTTAAGCATCTACAATATACCAGGAAGCGAACGGAGAGGCACGCCGGCGAGATAAATTTTTCATTCGTAATATAACGGGGCTCAGAAGTCAGCGCGGATATGTAATTATTCTTGGTTATTGCCCTTCTAAACGCTCATCCAGGATTACGGAGGATCGAACAGTGAAGCGAATCGCGGCACTCGATTCAGTGAACGTAATGACGATACGAGGCTCGTTATGACGACGATGATGCGATAACGAGCTCGTAGTGGTGCCGCGGTAAAGCGTTACAATACCGGGGGCGCGCTTTGCCGTGCCGATGGGGAACACTCGTTCGATTATGCTTCTTGTTCATCGTCGGCGATTTGTGCATGGAGAGGCGGTCGGACGCGGAAACCGGTCGATTTAGCGCTACGGAACGGCAAAAGTCGAATTACGGTTACGGTAAATTGCGGACGGGAATCGCTGCCGCGCCGCTGTCTTGGTCCATGGAAAACGATACCACCTACTCGATACTTCGCGTCGACGAAACATCGCGGAAACGATCGCGGAAGAAAGGAGTCGCGGTGTACGAATCGATATCTATCAGGCTTGTGCATATGAAATATCGACTTTTCTTTCGGTAAACAACAAAAACTCCGATACCTATTTATCCATCTTTCCTTCCTAAATTCTTAAACGTTCGCATCAGATTATTTCAAATACTTTGTTATTTTTATTTCACAGATAATATGGAAAATTCACTTTATTCCGATTTCAACTGAAATAATATAGTTACGAAACAAGTATAGTTCTATGACGGAAAGATTCACAATTTATGAGATAATGTCGCAATCAACGCGCTACGCTCGTGCTAGTTCTCCTTTAAATAATATTCGCTAGTCGGCTGTACATAGACATTGTAGCATTATCCGTACGGCCAACGAAAGAAATCGATCGGTTGGACGACGACGACGATTTTGTCGTTCCGCGACATCTAATTTGGACATAGCGTGCTTCTTGTTCGTCGTCGGTGATTTCTGCACGGAGAGAAGTCGCACGTGGCCGTACGTGGGAACACCGGTCGATTTAGCGCGACGGCGCCGCGAAAGTCGAATTACTATCTCCCGTAGAAACGATGCACCTACTCGCGATACTCTTCTCGTCGAAGAAACAGCGTGGAAACGATCGCGGAAGAAAAGGGCCGCGGGATACGAATCGATATCTATATCTCGATGCCAACGGTCGACAACCGGCCCGGAAAAATAAGCCGCGATCGATCACGGAATTTCAGGCTGTCGAATCGACAACGCTTTATCATCGAAACGATTTGCCGAACCGAGCATCACCGTCGATTCCTCGCCGATATTGAACGTGTCGACAGCCAACCTTTTAATCTTGCTTATATACACACGTCGACCGTTCCGCCGAGTTTATTTAGTTAGAACACTGGTCGCGTGAAAAATTGACAGTATCTATTGAGCCCGCGGGCACGTCCTACGCGTCGACAGACGCGGCGTGATCGACGCTCTGCGACGGAATCTCGTCGAACTTCCGGTGACTTCGAAGACGGAACGGTTACCAAATCTAGACACGATCGACCGAACCCATATATTATTCATTGCAATTACAGATCGACGGTCTTAGACACACGCACACGCCGATCCGTTCGCGGTAGAGCCCGTCTGACACGGACTAATGACAAGGTGACGTTGGTCTATTCACTGCTCCGAGGTAAACTACGTACAATAGATGCTTTGTTTAACATTCGGATTACGGAACCCGTTGATCAGTTACCTGTTTCTCCTCTCTCTGACGCGCTTTTAAAGTCCTTATTCGAGAGAGAACAATATTTTTGTACATACATCGGAACAGGACCGAGAATTATCGAAATAAATTATTTGAAAAATAATCATTAATGTGTGTAATATATTATTTTATTTGGCTACATGTTCTTCGAAGCAACTATACGTTAATTTATTTGAGCGTTTTAATAATCGAGCGAATTTAAATAACGCATTTCGCAGGCAACTTATACGCACACCGCAGAATTCACTAAAATTGCTGGTAGTCGTTAAGAGTTTTTAAAATCGTTATGACTCTTCATTAAAAACGCTTTTAATAACGTTTCGTACAAGTTTCCAACTCTCCTTCGTCACTTATTTCTACAGTTTTAACTGTCCCTTGACGCTCAATTAACGCGATGGTATTAAATCAATACGAGGAAAGTAGAATTGAAAGAATACTTATTTTTCAGCTTGATCAGTTTCGAGCGAAACGAAAATAGTAATTACTAGACAGCGGATCTTACCGCAAAATAAAAATTCTTTATCATCGTTAAAAGGAACGCAACTGTGTAATTGAAAATAATCTTTTCCATTTGAACAATCGTAATAAATTGAAAATAATATAACCTATGCCGCTACAGCTTCGCATTTGATTTATATTCACTTTTTACTTAACTGCAAATAATCCGTGGTCTAGTAATTACTTTT